GTTATGGGAGATTCTAAAGAAAAATTGCAAAGGTTAGTGGATGAGTTTGGGAATGTGTGTAAAGGTAGAAAGTTGAAAGTGAACATAGAAAAGAGTAAGGTGATGAGGGTATGAAATGATTTAGGTAAAGAAAAATTGGATATCAAATTGGGGAGGTGGAGTATGGAAGAAGTGAATGTTTTCAGATATTTGGGAGTTGAAGTGTCAGCGGATGGATTTATGAAGGATGAGGTTAATCATAGAATTAACGAGGGAAAAAAGGCGAGTGGTGTGTTGAGGTATATGTGAAGACAAAAAATGTTATCTATGGAGGCAAAGAAGGGAATGTATGAAAGTATAGTAGTACCAACACTTATATGGGTGTGAAGCTTGGGTTGTAAATGCAGCAGCGAGGAGGCGGTTGGAGGCAGTGGAGATGTCTTGTCTAAGGGCAACATGTGGTGTAAATATTACGCAGAAAATTCGAAGTGTGGAAATTAGGAGGTGTGGAGTAATAAAAGTATTAGTCAGAGGGCTGAGGAGGGGTTGTTGAGGTGGTTTGGTCATTTAGAGAGAATGGATCAAAGTAGAACGACATGGAGAGCGCATAAATTCGTAGGGGAAGGAAGGCGGGGTAAGGATCATCCTCGAAAAGGTTGGAAGCAGGGGGTAAAGGAGGTTTTTTGGGCGAGGGGCTTGGGCTTTCCGCAAGCGTGCGTGAGCTTGTTTGATAGGAGTGAATGGAGACGAATGGTATTTGGAACCTGACAAGCTGTTGGAGTGTGAGCAAGGTAATATTTAGTGAAGGGATTCAGGGAAACGGTTATTTTTATATAGCTGGACTTGAGTCCTGGAAATGGGAAGTGCAATGCCTGCACTTTGAAGGAGAGGTTCGGGATATTGGGAATTTGGAGGGATATATTGTGTATCTTTATACATATATGCTTCTAACTGTTGTATTCTGGGCACCTCTGCAAAAACAGTGATAGTGTGAGAGGTGAAAGTATTGAATGATGAAAGTATTTTCTTTTTGGGGATTTTCTTTCTTTTTGGTCACCCTGCCTCGGTGGTAGACGTCAACTTGTTTAAAAAAAAAAAATGAAGCTATGTTAAGATTAAATTATGTATACTACTAGCTTCTATAAATGAAGCATCATAAGGGATAGAATAATTTTTAGGAGTTAAAAATTTGTGGGATTATATCTATATTATAAAATTGCTCATTAAATTAAGGAAAAATTGTTTTTAATTTATATTGAGCTATAACACCTTGCTTTTTTGTGCTGTCAGCTGCCTCTCTGTTTTCAGTCACTAAATTGGCTTAATCTGTTTACACACATTCGTACTCATTCTGCATATCACACGCACACAATTTTAAATAAGGATTCCATGTAAATGTTGGTTACTAATTTAAAAATATTACTGTATTGCGGTCTCCATGAGTGAGTGCATAGAGTGCCCCTCTCAGCAATCTTTTCTGGTCTTCACAGTTTTCTTCATTATTTATCTTTATCACACTTACAGCATGGTTTTATGTACCCTGGAAGACAAGCCAAATGCTGATGCAGTGTACACTGATTATGCAAAGGTCTTTGGCAAGTGCAGCCATAAGTATGGTAACTCAAAATGAGTCCAATGGGAATAACTGGAAAAGGGGACAAATGGATATTTAACTATTTAACCAACAGAACCCATAGCAGCAGTAGTCAAGAGTGGGAAATATCCCACTTTTGTTTCCTCACTCTATCCAGTATAGACAAGGATATAAATCATAGCACCATAACATCCTTACTGATGACACCAGAATCTCTAGAGAGTGGCATCTGTTGAAAACTCACTGAATCCTTACATGGATACAAATCAAGTCTTCCAGTGGGTCTCAAACAATAGTATGAATGAGAAGGGAGGAAGTACTAAAATGGAAAACAGGATAAACACAAATTGTTCATTAGAGCAAAAGTTTCATGTGCAAGACTTGGGAGTAATATTTGAAGGTTTCTTGTTCCAGGATTACAACTTTGTACCATTAGGGAAAATAACCTAGATGACTAGAAAATTGAAGGCAAAAGATGCCATGCAAATGATAACGCTTCAGATTGCTGGAATACTGCTGTATATTAATAGTCCCTTCAAGGCAGGTGAGATTGCTTACTTAGAAAACGTATAGCAAACTTCCGCTGTCTATGTACATTCATGCAAAAATCTGAACTACTTGGAAAGATTGAAGTTCCTTGTACTTTACACCTTGGAATGTACGTGAGAAGTGTACATCATAGTTTTCACCTGGAAAATCCTGAAGTGACAGGCCCCAAACCTGCATTCAGAAATCACGTTGTATGAAAGCACTTAAAAGATCTTGCAAAATATACCTCAAATATAAGGCAGGGGTGCATTGAGTGCACAAACAGAATTTAAAAGTGTCATATGCCCCTGACTTTAATGTCCTTCCTTCATGCATAACGGGAATTTCCAACAAACCTCTGATTGTCTTCAAGAGAGAACCTAAGTTCCTTAAAGCACTTCCTTGCCAACTGGGCTGTAGTTCTTATGTTGAAGTATGTGTGGCCAGCAGTAATAGCCTGGTTGATTAGGCTTTGATCCACCAGGAGGCCTGGTGTGGGCCCAGGCTGTGGGAGGATTGTTTACCCTGCAGTCATCCTTCAGGTATGCCTAAATGGTAAGATTCAGTTCTGAATATCAAAATATTTCTATAAATGCCAATCAAAATTGTTTTTTCAATGTTAAGTATTTTAATCCATACAAGTACTGAATTGGCATGCAGTGCTGCTGCTGGTGGTGATTTTGCCAGTTATGAGTTTAGAGAAAAATGATCAGGTTCAGAGTTTGTTGACCATAAATGTTTTAAACTTGCTGAGGTAGGTAGCCATATTAAAATTGCATCATCATAATGTTGGGAATAAGGGGATTTGACTGCACAGAAGTGGCAGGAGTTAGATGCTCGACTCCTTTTTCTTCCACGAATTATCATTCAGAATAGAAATGGGGCACATGCGCCTCACCTAGAAAAGTGTTACTGCCTCTGAATTCTGAGGGGTTGCTGCAGTCAAATTATATCATTCAAGGCAGAGAAAGATGTAATGGTGACAGAGGTGGAGTTGTGTAATTAGAAAAGTGTTTGTCACTACTTTTGGAGGTGGAAGGAGGGCTTGATGTTTAAAGATTCTTCTATTTTTTGTGTGTGTAATAGATTTTATCAACTTTTTCCTTTATTATTATTATTATTCGTTTAGTTACATGGAACAAACCAGTGTGGATTTGTCAGTAGGAGAAATAGGAAAAGCTTGATCTGCCATTTGCTAATCAAGAAATAGTTCCACCAAACCACATGTACAATTCTCCTTAATTATGAATATAGTTTTTAAGAATCCCGGCAGTGCAAATTTGTCAAAATGGGTGACACGCAGTGGCGGCTCGTCCATAGGAGCTGCAGTCTCTCCCAGATGCTCACTGCAAGATGTATGACTTCTCAACTTTATGCTAAAATAATTTGCAAGTGAGAAATATATTACAGGAAAAATCTGTTGTATGTTGTTTTCAATGTATTCATAAATTTTTTTGTTGAAACTAGATAAATGGTTAAAAATGGAAGTTTGATGCTGTACGATAGTTTAGGTATTACTGGCGTTATGAGCTGCCACTGGTGACACATACGTATTGCCATTTCCTCATGCATTCCTGTGTTCAGGTAATACTTCACTACATAAAATTTATCACAACCTCTAAAGAGGAATGGTGTAAATACGGACTGTGATACTGAGGTTGAGGATGACTGTGGATGCTGCAATAAAGTGAAACCTGTCATTTTTCCTATTGTGGTAATTGGTTTGTTAGGTAATTGGCCAAGTATTACCAGACATATATTTTGTCAAATGATGACCCTTAACCCTTAAACAGTCCAAACGTATATATACGTTCACTCGTGTAGCGCCCCAAATTTTTTGAGAGAAAAAAAATTGTCTTTTTTTAATAGGAAAAAAGAGCATATGGTACCCAGGCATTCCCAGTTATTTTAATATGGCACACAGTGAGTGCGCACACCCATTCTCTCATTCTCTCAGGCTTATCGTGGCAATGTTGAATGAATGACAACGTATATGTACTTTTGGGGCGTTACGCATGTGAACGTATATATACGTTTGGACCGTTTAAGGGTTAACTGGTTTCAAATTAATGGACTAGGTTTTATACCCAATTTATATATTGTATGGAAAGTTACCTGTGATTGGGTGACCTTTCTGGCAGTGTGATCTTTAAGTAAAATTCTTAAGTCAGTTTCGTTGTGCTATCTTGCTCGTCAAGTTTTGTTTGCCTGCACACAATTCCCACTTATGGTTTGTTTTATTATGTATTTTTCGTATCCGTTATTCAATTCTTTGAAGACTTATTGGAGCAACACTTGCAAGAAGCGGGAGCATCCTGTCCTAAACCCATGTTGCTCAGTATTGTGTATGTGTGATTCCATGTGTGTAGACAGTGTATCACACTTGTATCAATTTTGTTGCATGATAGTGCTGTCAGTCTACCATTCTTGACTTTATTTTATATCCACCTTTAAGTCGTCATTCATTTTAATAGTTTTGAGAGTTTTGGATGTATCACTGACATATAGTTGCTTTCATAACACGTTTAGGTTAGGACCTCTGATATCTCCCATGAAGTGTTATTTTTACGTAATGGGCAACAGTCGCAGTTACACATCAGCCTGTAAAGTGTTTTTCATCGTTATCTTTATTATAATGGTTTGTGATTTGAGCATACGATCCTCCTCTTAATCAGGGTACATACCTTATATAATAGGTCTCGTTTGCTCTAAAGTTGGTTTTACATTTTTATTTATAATTATTTTGTCTAAAAATGTGAATGTTGTTCTATGCTCTTGCTAATGGGTAACAAAGGTAGGGATGATTCTTCCGAAAGGTTAATTAGGGGTTATTTAAGTTTTCATATTTATTCATTAAAACTGTAAATATTCTGTATGTCCAGACCTAATTCTCTTACAGATGATGGGTGGGAGCCTCAGGTCGTCAGGAATGGTAATGGGTCTTCGTGGACAGTTACCTATGGCAAACCAGAGTGGTTTGGGTGGACCAAATCCAGCCATGGGTACTAGCTCTCGATATCCAAATCCAGGGCCAATTCAGCGTCCCCCAGCATCTCAAGGCTCTGGCACCTGTAGTAGTCATCGTGGAAGTCGTGGACAGTCACAAGGTCAACAGCAGCAGCAGCAGGCACAACAAAGAACCTCTAACCCTCCTAGTTCTGCTCAACAAGCCAAACTTAGGGCTGATGCTCTAAGTACAACTCAGGCTTTCTTTAATCGTGATGGTAAGTCTTCATTTTCATTGCTTCTTAAATATCTAATACTTTTGATGTTTCAGGTGCCTTACTTAAACTTATTGTATGTTGAAAAATGAGTGTTTATAAAAGTTTAATGAAAATAATGCAGGAAAGCAAATCATAGTATGCAAGTATTTTGTTGGCGCTGATAAAAATGAATAGAGATAGAGGCAGTGGCAGATTACCATAAAGTGCAGTTGCCCTAGGTGTGACAGCATGGGCCTTGAGGCTCTATTTGTATAAAAGTCATTTTATTAGAACAAAAAAATTTCAAATTGATTTGTGTAATTTTATTATACTTAATTTTCAGTAATTGTAAGCCTATAAATGCACGCGTGCGTCTGCGCATGTTTTGTTTGTTTTTGTTGTTGAGCCTCACTTGCTCTTAATCCACCACAAGTGTGTCATGCTGATGAATTGAAAGTTTGAAGAAATATGATAGTGGAAGAATCTGTGTCTTTTGGTTCATTGTAAGAAAGTTTGATAGGTTTCTGGGAGGCTATTGTAATGATGCCCTTGTATATAGTCTTTCATTAACTCTTCAGTTGGTATGCCTGTAATTACATTAGAAAGTTGGATAGTGTACATAATCATGTGATGCTTTTCACTCCATTATTTATAGAAGACTTATTTGATTGTTTATTCCTAGGCCAAGTAGTTGCATGTTAAGAGTTTGTACTAAGTAGACAAATAATTAAGATGGATTAATAACTTTTCAGATTTTGAAAAAAAAAAAAAAACTATTGCATATGCCTCAATTATAAACTTGTGCATGTTACTATCATATATTTTAAATATTTTCTAATGCAATCAGATGTTTAGTTTTTTAAATCTGGATTCACATTTCTTACTTGATAACTAGAGTGGAACAAATCCACAGTTATGAGAAAGCACAACTGAGGTAGTTTAGCTTTTCATATTAATAGTCTCTCATCATTCCAGACATCAAATCAGTGCAGATGCCTTTACTTATACACAGTAATTAATGTATACACAGAGTTAATGTAATCACTTCAACCTGTTCTCCTAAGAAAATGTGCAAGAATACATGTACACTGTGAGAACATTGGTTTTAAATTGTTCAATGATCCAAGGTACTTGTATAGATATCCACTGTTAAACAAGTATAACATACTCTTAGCTTACTTTAGGATATATTGAGTTAAACTAAAGTGAACCTGATATTTCTGAATGTAACAAATACCAAAATATGTGACAGGATATTATCTCTGGTAATTTACATCTGGGCAATTACTTAATGACTGGAAAACAAAAATCCTGAAAATGCATGCTTTTCTGAATGATGAGTTAATCAACTAATGGTAGTGGAAATCTAAAGTCATAATTTAGCCTTCATTTATGCAAATTCTTAGTTCTCAATCCCTACTTTCTAAATAATTTTACAAACCCAGAACTGTTAGTCATGCTAGTTTGTTTATTTTACCATGCCTAGAATAATCTAGCAATGTGGAGGTAAACAACTAGCTTTCCATGTTCTTGGGCTTTCATGAGTGTAATACTAGTGTGGTTTAAGGATGACATTCCTGGTAGCATTATCTCCAATCATATAATGTTAATGTTACTCTTCAGCTTTGAAACTAAACATACATTTTTCCTCCTTGTTAGATAACTTTTTCAGATAAGTTCAATCTACTGGGTACTGTAATTGATGTGATCTGTAATTTCCAAAAGCTTTCACGAACTCTTCACTCTTAGATCACCACTAGAGTTTCCCCTACTCAAAAGATTTTAGCATATGCAAATTTTGCTCTTGCTTTATTTAAACTTGCTGAACCATGTATGACATATACTAGACCTTTCTCCTGATCATCTCTTCAAATCATCATAGTCTCTGAGCTTTCTCATCTATTGGTTGTCTATTTACATATAGTCAAAAGTTTGTCTATATACAAACCCTACCACTTCTCATCATGCAAATAATCTTAGAATGTACGGGTGTAGATCCTTCGTGTGTTTAAAGGTACACAGTACGTATTTACTCAATAGTTAAAACAGTTTTGCTGTTTACACAGTGTGGACAGTTGTAGATGGAGTTTCATTCTTTTCAAATGGTTTTTTGTCAATTTTCATCTCAGTAGTAATTCATTTTTCTTGACAAGGGAATCAGTAGAATGCCTTTGCATTTAATGTTTGATGAGCAGTTGCTTTTTTTTTAAACGTGAAAATTTAAAAAATGCAGTAAATACAATGGTATGACGGCAAACAATGTAGCCTCTCTCCACCTCCCAAATTCCTCATACGTCATGGAGAAAGAATACCAAAGAAAAGTGTACTGTACGAGAAACTGTCGGTAAGGTTTCATGGGACCCTGCAATAGATCCTTAAGAGAATGGAAGGAATAATAGATAATACAAAATAGCTCCATAAAAAAAAGCAAAAGTGAAATGGATGTAAATATTACTTACGAAATTACTGTGCATGTTGTGTATCTTTTGTATGCTTGTTTTAGAATTAAGGTGTACTTTCAGTATAGCCCTCATTACAAGTAATATTTTGTTTCATGGGGTAACAACAATTATTTAAATGGTGTACGTTAATGATATTAGATTATTAATGGTATAAAAAAGTACGTAGACACAAATATGAAGGACAGTGTATGTATTTAACAGGCTAATGTTGTAATTCATGCATACATATTGGTAAGTAGGTAGGCATACATATAGGTAGAGACAGTTACACAGCTCAGGCGATGCTGTTTTGACATTTCTTTTAATCTTCTTTACTGGAGTAGTAGGGAAGTACAGCACATATGCTCTGAAACCTGGGTGGAAAATGTTTAGTGCCGTATTTGAATTGTGATGTTGACACACTTTTGACGAGATGGCTATTCTATATTTTGAGATCCTTTACTTGCATAGCATTTTTCCATAGATTCAAGCTTGTGGAATATGCAGATATATATTTCTCACCTGATGTTCATGGGTTCTCTTACATCTGTTAAGGAGGGATGTTAGCTTAGCGTCTGTACACGTGCAAAAAAGACAGACAAGCACACACACATGCGCGCACATGCATAGACATGCACACGTGTGTGCAGACAGAGACACATGCACACAAGACATAACAGAGGGGGACACCAACAAGGAATATACCAACAAGTGTTGGATGACATACACACGACTGAGGAGGTGGTAAAGAAGCTGCTAAGGGACCTTGATACCTCAAAGGTAATTGGACTGGACAACATCTCCATGTGGGTCCTTAGAGAGGGAGCAGAAATGCTGTGTGTGCCACTAACCACAATCTTCAACACATCCCTTGAAACTGGGCAACTACCTGAGGTATGGAAGATGGCAAATGTAGTTCCCATTTTTAAAAAAGGAGACAGAAAAGAGGCACTAAACTATAGACCAGTGTCACTGACGTGTATAGTATGCAAAGTCATGGAGAAGATTATCAGGAGTGGTGGTGGAGCACCTGGAACGGAACAAGAGTATAAATGCCAACCAGCATGGATTTATGGAAGGCAAATCCTGTGTCACAGACCTTTTGGAGTTTTATGATAAAGTAACAGAAGTAAGACATGATGTCAGCATAGTTGCTGATCCCTGTGTTATATAGCATAGCATATTAGTATCATCCATGTGCTTTAGATAGGAGATCCCTTGTAGGCCTGTGACTTTGTGTGACGTCACGGGATGTGCATGTGTACGCTCGTACCTCTGCCCCGGTCTCACTCGGCGTAGACACCCAGGCAAAGACAGGCAAGGGACTGGGCTCCAGTTCCCATCATCTCAGTCTGACAATATATCGTAACCATCCAACAAGTGTGTCTACCTTCAACCCTCGATATCTCCATTTAAGAACCCCTACGATAATGAGAGAGAGGGGTGGGTTGATTGCATCTACTTGGACTGCAAGAAGGCCTTCGACACAGTTTCTCATGAGAGATTAGTGCAGAAGCTAGAGGATCAGGCACATATAACAGGTAGGGCACTGCAGTGGATCAGAAAATACCTGACAGGGAGGCAACAATGAGTCATGGTACATGATGAGATATCACAGTGGGCACCTGTGATGAGCGGCATCCCACAGGGGTCAGTCCTAGCACCAATGCTATTTTTGGTATATATGAATGACATGATGGAAGGGATAGTGGCCCTGTTTGCAGATGATGTGAAGTTAATGAGAAGAATTAAATCAGATGAGGATCAGGCAGAACTTCAAAGAGACCTAGACAGGCTGGACACCTGGTTCAGCAACTGGCTTCTCGAATTTAACCCCCAAATGCGAAGTCATGAAGATCGGGGAAGAGCAAAGAAGGCTGCAGGAGTATAGGCTAGGTGGCCAAAGACTGCTAACCTCGCTCAAGGAGAAAGATCTTGGGGTGAGTATAACACCGAGCACGTCTCCGGAGGCACACATCAACCAGATAACTGCTGTAGCATACGGGTGCCTGGGAAACCTGAGAACAGCATTTCGACACCTTAGCAAGGAATCATTGAAGATCCTGTACACTGTGTATGTCAGGCCCATACTGGAGTATGCAGCACCTGTTTGGAAACCACACTCGATCAAGCACATCCAGAAATTAGAGAAAGTGCAAAGGTTTGCGACAAGGGTAGTTCCATAGCTAGGGGGAATGTCCTACAAAGAAATGTTAAGGGAAATCGGCCTGAGGACAGGAGGGTTAGGGGAGACATGATAATGACATACAAAATACTGCATGGAATAGACGAGGTGGACACAGACAGACACACACAGACACAGACAGACACAGACAGACAGACAGAAAAGACAGACACAGACAGACACAGACACACACAGACACACACACAGACAAAACACACACACACAGACACACACACACACAACACACACACACACACACACACACACACACACACACACCAGACACACACACACAGACACACACACACAGACACACACACACAGACACACACACAGACACACACACAGACACACACACACAGACACACACACACAGACACACACACACAGACACA